ATTCCAGTTGGTCCTTACTGATAGTTGTTCTGTAGTTGAGTTGTAATTTTGATGTGGTTGTGAGAGGAGGCAAGCACCGTCTTGACCTATGCCGCCCCATCTTGGCCGGATGTCCGGTATGATGCCAGTTTTACAGTGATAATGGCAACTTAAACCAAGCCCATTTCCTTGTTCTCCTGAGCCCCTGATACTAACTGGCGGCTGTCACATGGGCTGTTAAAGGTCCTGTGTGGTGTCTGACGGGGTGCTTCATGCATGTGCACACATGCATGCGTGTGCTGACAAGCGCTTGGTACTTGATACTTTCAAGAGGGACCCCTTGAAAGTCAATATGTCCTTGTTATGGGATAGATAGCAAAGAATATAATCCTGACTTGGACCCAAAAGCAATAAACCTTTCCTCCCTTTTGTTGTCCCTAATAAAAACCTGCAGAAGGTTGATGCCAAATTCATTATGACTGGACTCACCTCTGCAGTTTTTCAGGACCCTCAGATCTCCCCCCTTATAGAAGTTCCGTGAAAACTGGGGTTTCCTCGTGTTCCTGCCCCCAGGCTAAACCCTTCCATTTGCTTGAAGCAAAGGGTGTGTGAGGAATTATGAGCTAACCAATAAAACAACGATAATAACTTATCCTTATAACTGTAGAAGTTATATAGATGTCTGCCTCTCTGGGGTGGGCAGAGGCCTCTTTTAGCTCAGAAACGGCAATGGGATGGGAAAGGGACTGAGAGCAATGCCATGCTGGGAATATAGGAAGGCAGGTGGGGTCCTGCCCTGTCTGAAGCAGGATGGTGGCAGGACAGAGCAGCTGCCTCAGGTCACAGCTGACCGTCATTCTTGGAATCCAGGGCAACAGCAAGCTTCAGAGCCCAGGATGGTGCATGGGCCATCCTGGAATTGGGTCAGGTAAGGACAGAACATTCCAGATAGTTTGGGGGTTAGACCTAAGACCAGTGAGGTCACCCCAGACACGGAGTGGTGTGGCGGCAGCAGCTCTGCTGTACTTTTCTCTGCACACTGATACTGGAAGATGCTATACACAGAGGGCCCAGGACCCCTCACACCAGTTTGCTGCCTGGGAAACATTTATTATAGAGGAGCCCCAATTAATAACCCACCCCCCAGCAGGAGATTTAGGGAGCTGGCTGGCATTCCACATTAACTTGGCTAACAGCATCTATACTCAAAGTTTTTCCCACATGAAATGTTCCTTTAAAATAACCTGAAGCCAAAGCCACATTGTGGACCTGCTGTCATGATTTCCGGGCGGAGCCCGGAGAGCAGTAGGTTCTGGGGCTCCACCAGGCATTGCCATGGGCGGCAGCTGGTGCACTGGGCTACAGCCTTGCTCCTCTAGGTGCGGCCCGTGGAGCAAAGCATTAGCATCTCCGGGAGCCACTGGAAATGCAGGCTCCCAGGCCCGCCAGCCCTGGTGGAGCACAAGGTCCTCAAGTGCTTTGTTTGCACATTAGCGCTGACGAGCACCAGCAGGACGCCCTTTAATGGGCCCTAATGGTCCTGGGATTGACGTGGCTGCCAAATGGAGCAGCAGAGTGCAGGGCAGCGATGACCCAGTGGGGGTTGGGCAGCGGCTGAGAGCAGGCTGGGAGCCACTCAAGAAGCTCGCAGAGCCGGGAAGTGTCTGGCTGCTGCTGCATCTGCACAGGTTCACTCCCCGGCACTGCCCACCTCACAGGACAGCTCCCAGGGCTTCGGCTGGTCACTGACCAGTTAACTGTCGCTGGTCCAAAATGGGCACCATCCCCACACGCCATGATGGTGTGAATTGAATTGAAAAAGCTCCTGTGGACGCTCATGGCAGACAAAGGGTTAATTACTGGCCAGGGCTGGCCAGGAGCAGACATTAACAATCCCCTTTCTCAGCCCAGGGAGGTTAGGGTCCTGCCCTCAGTCACCTAGCTATCCCACCGCCCAGGAAGGAGTTTGCTTTGCTTATCATTGTCTTCCTGCGCCAGCCAGGGGGAAAGAACAAGGGCGGCCAGCAGAGGCGGAGCCCGGAGCGGCCTGGGCTTCTGGGGCCAGCCCAGGGAAGAGTGTGGGCCCGCTGGGAGGCGGGCGCTCCTATTCGGAGCCGGGCTGGAGCGTCCGCCAGCCCAGTGGCAGGGCCGGCGGGCACACGCGGAGCCCTGCGGGGCCGCCCCAGGCTGCGCAGAGCCAGGCAGGCTTCTCTGCGGCCCAGTCACAGAGGAGCGGCCGCGGGAATGAGGTCACGGCCACCGAGGACGGCTGCGCTGAAGAACGAGAAACCACATCTCCGGCAGGGTGTCAGAACCAAAGCTTTATTTACTGGCTCATTGTTTCCAGAACATCGCTGGCAGCTGGAGCCAGAATGCAAGGGTGATTTCTGTAATTGAAGAGTAATTAGAATCTGACAGATAATGGAATTGGGACAGTAAAACACCTTAACTATAAATACACGCACGGACATCCCCCAGGCCTAACAGCCGTCTGCGTGCTCGGCGCCCCGGGCTGCGGGCGCCCCTGGGCGGAGCCGTGAGTCTCCGTGTCCCCGGAGCTGTGGAAGTTTCCGGAGAACTTATGTAAAAGCCACACATTACAAACAGAAAAAAATTATCACAAAGCAACATTTAAAATATTTAACATGTGTTTATTCTACAAAGAATGAGCACTTCTGAAATATTACAAACAGTGAAATAAATATAGTAGATTATGGATATGTACAACGCACTACTTTGTTTCAAAAATGCAGGAAGATAAAGTATGTGTGTTAATATATATGTAATTTAGATCTGATGACAATTCAGTATTGCTCTGGTTGGTCCTGCGGTATTGCATGCATGCCCGGGGCACGCCATGGCTTGTCACTGATGGAGGAGGGCCGGGGCGGGACAGGGAGCAGGAGCCATGCTGTTTCCAGAAGCCGGCCGAGCGCCCCGGGCCTTCGGCTTTCCGTGCATCAAACCCGCCCACACGCACTGAGGCGCATCCTCAGAACCAGCTCCCCGTCCCGCGGCCATCACTGCACCCCTCAGCCTGAGCCTCGGGCCCCGAGACCTCGGCCACAGGGTCCACACTGTCAGTTCCCTGCCCCGAGAGGCACCGCAGGCTGCGTCGGAGCTTCCTAGCTTCCTGTGACCAGTTTCCGCGGAACGGACCCTCACCCCCTGCAGCTCTGAGCACTGAAACCACAGCCTGGCCTGGCGCCAGCAGCACTCTGCCGTCAGGAGGACGCTGGCAGGAGGCTCACCCTGGGCCTGGGCCAGGCCAGCGCGGCGACACCAGCTTCCGCCAGCTCAGACCCACCCGGGCCCTGGCCCTCTGGCCAGGATGTGCTGCTTCTTTCCCACCTGACCCAGAGCCAGATCAAAAACCACATTTCTCTAAGAATAGAAAGAGGAAACAGGTAGACACAAGTTGAAAGACAACTGTCCTAAAAATCCACCCACTGTCTCCCTGACGGCGGTGGACAGTCCGGAGCGGACAGCCCGCAGGGGGCGTCCGTGCGGACACCACGAGGCCTGGCCGCCTCAGCACTGACATCCGGGCCTCCCACCCCCTCCCGGCTCAGGTGGGCGGCCAGCACCTCCCACACACTGACCTTAGGGGGGGCGGGAGGGGAGGGGAGGCATTGGAACAGAGGGGGAGACGTTGGCAGGAAGGTCCCGGAAGGCTGACAGCGTCTGTTGGCATCTGGAGCGGGAGCGCCACTGTGATGGCCTCGGGCCTGCCCCGGAGCAGGTGCCGGGAGAGGGCCGAGGAGGCGCAGCCGCCCCACAGGCGACACCTCGCCGGCCTCTGCCCACGGCAGGTGGCCTGGGCCACGTCGGCTGTCGGGCGGGCTCAGGAGGACCGCCAAGAGGAGACTCCGGAGTCGGGAACGAAAGGGAGAACTTGGGCTCCGTCAGCGGGAATTTTTGGGAAGCAGAGCCAACCCGGACACTGGACGGCAAGAATTAGACCGGCGGCCTCGGCCCCACGGCCCGCCCCCTGCGCCCAGCAGGCAGGGACCAGCATGGCTTCGATCAGGCTGCAGGGCTAGGGTGCGGCAGATCATCAGGAAAAGAGGGCCCGCCCTGCCTGCTCTCAGGCGAGTTTCTGAGGGACCGGAGACCGTGTGCTGCCCGAGGCGTTTCCCGGAGCGCAGTGCCCAAGGGCGGGAGACAGCGACCACTGCCGGTCAGTGCGGGGGGGGGGGGGGGGGGGGGCGGAGGGGGGGAGGGACTCCTGCCGCAGCCCCTGGAGGGCAGGTGCCCCACGGCCTCCCGGCCGCCCGCAGGTCAGGCCCGCTGGGCAGAGGACGGCCATTGTCGCTCGTGTTTACAATCTGAGGCTGCAGCTGGCGCACCTCCCGGGCTAAAGGAGGAAACCTCACAGGGAGACCCTCTGGGTGCCAGTGCAGGGCTCGTAACCGAGGTGCCCGTGCTCATGCCCGCAGCGCTCACAGGCGGGCGTCCGGAGCCTGACCGCTGGGGAACAGAAAGCCTCCGGGAGGCGGCCCAGGGGAGGGCACCCCCGGCTCACAGGCCAGCGGAGTGAGCACCTCTGGGGAGGCTGTGGCTCCAATCCAGCCAAAGAACCAGGAGGAAAGCAGCTCTGGCCTGGCTTCTCCCCGCTTCCCCCGCCCCGCCCCCCCAGGATGGCACTGGCTGCTGAGCGGAGGACAGGCTGGTCTGTGGTGGACCTGCAGCCCGGGTGAACATGCTTAGACACACATGCAGGGGCACTCCCTCCCTCGCTCCACTCCTGGTGGCACACACACACACACACACACACACACAGGCCACAGGGGCTGCGGGCACTCGGCCCCCTGCCACGCCAGCACGTGGGTTTTCGCTGGACCGTCTGGAGGCTCCTGGTTCGGAGAGGGGCTCATTGTTGGGGGTGTGGAACGCCCTCTTGAGGACGACAGGGCAAGTCTCGGTCCAAATGAGAGTTCACGTGTGGGCATCTTACATGCGGCCTGGCAGCGGGCTTCACGGGGGAGAGGGGCGGGGAGGGGCAGGGGCGCGGGAAGGCCTCACATGACCACGCACTTGCCCTTGAGCTTCTCTTTCCTCTTCTGCTGCTTGCTCTTCTTGCCGTCGATCTGGAGGCTCACGGTCCTGCGCTTCTCCAGGGTGAGCAGCTCCTGGAAGAGCTCCTTGACGTTGTGGTTGAGCTTGGCCGAGGTCTCCATGAAGGCGCACTTCCAGCGGCGCGCCAGCGCCTCCGCCTCGCCGCTCTCCACCTCGCGGCCCGCGCTCTCGTCGCACTTGTTGCCCACCAGCATGATGGGGATGCTCTCCACGTCGCCCTTGATCTCGCAGATCTGCTCGTAGATGGGCTTGAGCTCCTCCAGGGACTGGCGGCTGGTGATGGAGTACACGAGGATGAAGGCGTGGCCCTTGGAGATGGACAGGCGCTGCATGGCGGGGAACTGGTGGCTGCCCGTGGTGTCCGTGATCTGCAGCGTGCAGATGCTCTTGTCGCAGCTGATGACCTGCCGGTAGGTGTCCTCCACGGTGGGGATGTAGCTCTCTCGGAAGGTGCCCTTCACGAACCTCAGCACCAGCGAGCTCTTGCCCACGCCGCCCGCCCCGAACACAGCCACGCGGTAGTCGTTGCTCTGCTCCGGCATGTTGCCTGAGGCTCCCTCTCAGCCACAGCGCCTGGCGGGGACAGAGGGAGAGTCAGTGAGAGTTAGCGGGAGGCCACTGGGGTGCCTGACCCTCTCTGATGGCTTAAAGAGACGGGGGAGATACAGTTTGCCTTCGCTCTCTCAACATTCAAATTCCATTTCAAAAATCCTGCAGTTCTGAATCCAATAAGTATGGTCAGTCCTCAGCTTCTAAAGAGGCAGACAGTCTGCCGGGCGGCCAGCTGGGCAGCTGCTTCTGACGGGACGGTGCCCCGAGCATCCTGCCACAGACACTCCGTCCACCAGAGGAAGGTGCCATCTGCCCAGGAGAGCTCACAGAGATGGCATTTCACCCCAACACACACATGTTTTACCTCAAGTTCTGAAAACGAACACCCAATCCTCTACTCATAACATGGGACTGTTTTCCCAAGCAGGGGAGGGGGCAGTAAGGAGGAAAGGCTATTATCTTCATTCTCCGTCCAGTTAACTCAGGAAATCCCACCGCCTTCCAGAGCTGGTGTGGCAGTGAGACACAGGGAACACAGAGGGGCCTGGGAGTGCCGGTCCCGGCGGGCAGCGCTAGTGGGAGGCGAGGCTGGAATGCCAGCCAGAGCACCGGCCTGGCCTCCGCAGACTGCAGGGGGCAGCGGGGCACAGACGGAGCAGTGCAGGCGCAGTGCGGGGCCACGACTCAGCTGGCAGCCGTCCGTCGGCAGAAGAGGGGACAGTTAACGAAGCTGGGAGAGCGCTTTCTCTCATCAGCATTCCGACAGCACAGGTGCCTCACGTTTGTGAGTCAGAGGCGCTGAGCATCACCAAGAGAGGGTATAAACCGCTATAACAGCCGCTAACATGGAGCAGAATGGGGACTTGTCTTCATTGCAAACTCCATGCCGATACCTGCTACCTGTCACCCCGCCCTTCCCGGTGAGAAAGGTCAGCAAACACACACCAAGCGGAAAAGGAGGCAGCCCCACTGCTTCAGCTGCAGTCTACAATCACAGAATAACGTGAAACACGAAGCCATTCCCCAGACACCGCTGTGCTCCCACCTCTCAAACCTTAGAGGAACGGAGGACAACAGTGACAGCCATTTCAGAGGCAGAGCAGCTACTGAGCGTGGTTCCCACGGAGGGCGTGGCTGCGGCCGGCAGAGGGAGGACATCACAGATGAGGACCGTGCATCCCGCACGCGGGCCTCCACGCGGCTCAGACCCCTGGCGTGCTCCCCGCACTTTGGAATCCCCCCCCCCCCCCCGAGGAGCTAAGAAGCATCAGTGCTGAGAGGACGCGGGAAGATGCCAGGAAGTTCACAGGCAGAGAAGCCTGTGAAAGCCTGCCCAGGAGCGTGACTGCTCCATGAAATGTCCATAAGGTCCCTGCGGTCACTGCACAAGCACAGCACTGCGGGAGCTGCTCTGCTGGTGACAGCGCGGCGGCCTGTGGCTCCGGTGCCCACCCTCTCCGCACCGCCGGGCCTGCGCAGGTGGGCAGCCTGTCCTCCCGGCTGCTCTCCACCAGGGCGGGCCGCAGTCAGTGGGAGGGCGCGGGCTCAGCAAGCTCTGTGCCCCGAACCTCTCGGTCTGCAGCTCACAGCCAGTGTGTGATGACTATTCCCGGCCAGCCTAACATGTCTCCATTATTAACTGGCACCCAAGACAAGAAAACAAAGATAGAGCATAAGACAAGAAGCCTTTGTAGCTACTGTCATTCATGGATCCAAGAAATATCTATTGAACTTCCTCTAAAGGCCGGGCTCTGGGCCAGCAAACAGCTGTCAGAGCACAGACCTCAGCCAGGGGCTCTGACCTTGAAGAACTTGGGATCAAGTGAAGCAGAAATTCCATGTCACTAAGATTTAATAAATCACATCACGGTGGGGCTGCACAGGAGAGGTTTAGAGGGGCCTACCCAGCCGGGGTAGGGGACCAACTCCCCTAAGCAGTTGGCATGGCAGCAGGAAGAGGCAGGTGAAAGGTGAAAGGTGAAAGGTCACTGGGTTTGTGAGAGGTCTGGGGCAATAGAGCCATCCTCATCTCCAACTCTCTAACAGTTTCCCCCAAACCACATTCTCCCACCTCAGAGTCATCATTCTACAAGCGTTTATTAAAGAAGAAAAACCCTCCGCATAATATGCAAACATGCTGCTTACCCGACAGAAACGCACGGCATAGAAAACAAGCATGGGGGGTGCGTGATACCCACCGAACAGGTGCGGGTAGAGGCATAAACAAAGGCAGGCGGGGAACCGGGCAGCATCTGTCCTGTCGCGCCCTCAGGGAAGGTTTCGCAGAGGGCTGGGGGGAGGGGGAGTGGGCAATGAGAGCACATGTGCCACCAGAGGAAAGACCCCGGAGTGGAGCGAGAGCAGGATCAGGGCCAGCACTCCGGAGAACCACGAGGAAGCAAACAGCACTGCAAGGGATTAGAACCAGGGAGAAGGCACGCAGCATGAGGGGAGAGGATCGAATGCCACGCCCACCCAGACTAACAAGACAACTTGGCATGCCCTTTACTTGAACTTGCTGCACTTGAGTTGCCTGAGTTGTAAGATGATGGAGTAACATCTCATCATATATATAATTTCAGAGAAGAAGGGAGAACTACCCCAATTTAATAATATAAAAAATTAATCTTTTCTAAAAAAGAAACATCAATGATGATAGAGAATCATGATTGACTGCTTCCGGCACACCCCCCACTCCCTGCCCCACCGGGGATTGAGCCCACAACCATTGACATGTGCCTTGACCAGGAGTCGAACCACAACCTCCTTGTTCATAGGTCGATGCTCAATCACTGAGCCACACAGTCAGACGGTAACACCTCACCTTCGCAGAGCTGTGGCATTCAGTGAGACAACACAAGGTCAAACATCCAACACAGTTGCCAGGGAAAGGCTCTGGTTATTTTCAGCAAGGACCAGCCAGTAAAGGGTCACAGGAGCAGTGAGGGGCGTGGGGAAAACTGGAGAGACGATGACAGAATATGAAGGGGCAGATTCTGTCAAGAAACGTGGAGGGTGTGCGGCTAAAGCAGTGCACAGAGGGACCTTCATAGCTACAAACACTGGCATTAAATGAAAATAAAGGTCTCACATCAGTAATGCAATCTTCTACCTTATTAGAGAAAAGCAGCAAACTAAACTCAAAGAAAGAAAAAAAATACATTATAGTATAATAAAAATTAGCAAAACAATAAATATAAACACAGGAAGGATGAACTAATAAAACCAGAGAGGTTTTTTAAAAATATCTACAAAATTATCAAACATTTTGTTAAACTGACCAAGAAAAAAAAAAAAAAGGTGAAAAGACTCAAATTACTAAAATCAGGAATGAAAGAGGAGACATTACTACTGACTTTACAGAAATAATAGATTATAAGAGACTCCTATGATTAACTGTATGCCAACAAGTAATATAACTTAGATGAAACAAACTACCAAAGCTGACTCTGGAAGAAATAAAAATATAAACAGACCTGTAACAGGTAAAGATATTAAATTAGTAATCAAAAATTATCCACAAAGAAAAGCCAAGGTCTACAGGGCTGCATGGGGCATACATTTAAAGAAGAATTGATAGCAGCTCCTCACAAATGCTCTCAGAAAAATGACTAGAAGAAATACTTCTCACTGTTTCTGAATCTAGCATTACCTGACACCAACACCAGACAAAGATATCACAAGAAAACTACAGACCAGTATGTCTTCTACTAGTAAAAAAATTTTAAAAATCTTATAGATACAAAAATTCTCAGAAAAATACCAGCAAATTAAATTCATCAATGTATAAAAGGATTATACAGCATAAACAAGTAGGATATATACTAGTATGCAAAGTTGGTTTAACATCCAAAAATTAATACAGCACACCTTATCAATAAACTAAAAGACAGAAGCTATGATAGTTTTAGTAGATACAAAAAACTGACAAAATTCAGCACTCAATAGTGAGAAAAAAAAAATGAATAAACCTTAAACCATTTTGAGCAAACCAATATGAAAACACAACTGAAGCAACTTGTTGTGAGTAATAAGGGAATAAAAGGTAATTTCCTTAATCAAATAAAGGGCTTATAATTTAAACCCCAGAGCTCAAATAATATGTAACAATATTCTCTCCCTATGATTAGGAAAGATTAGTGTTCACTCTTACAGTTCCCCCTTTTTTTAATTGTAATTACAATTTAATACTTGTGTAGACATAAATGGTCATTCTCCCAGAACCAAATAAAGCACCAATCAGAATTATATAAAAGTAATTACAATCAAGAATTTGTTTTTATCTTTTTTGGATATGAAAAGTTTTAAGAAACAAAAGGTTGTAAAGGTAATAAAATTTAATTTTGTTGTATCCTAATAAAATTGCTTAGTATGTTCTATCAATTTCAAATAAGTAAAATAATATAAGAACATATTTTCAATCTTTATAGAATGAAGAGAAAAACACATTAATGATTAAATAGTCTTGGATTTTCTTTACTTCTGAAACATAGTAACCTCCATTTTGGGTAAAAACTACTGTTTAAAATTTTAGCCCTGCTATTCTGGCTTTTATAAACATTTGCTTGCTTAAATAATAGGGGAAATAAGACTACTCCCATTCTAGAGAGGCCATAAGCTATGGCTCAGACAGAGTTGTCAGTGCTGGCGCCAGGCCAGGCCTTGAGATACGGTCTCACGGACCTGTCCCAGCACACAGGACCTCTTTCTCAGAAGGTCTGGAAGTCTCATTCCAAATTTGGAAAACAAAGAACTGAAAAAGATATAAATAGGAAAGACTTCCTTTATTTGGGGCCCAGAATTCCTCTGGGCCCGCTAGCCCTAGCGAAATGAAAAAGACTCCAAATAAATTTGGCTTATCAATTAAGGCGTCTTCTGATGTACAGTATAACACTTCTCCTACAGATGAATTCACAAATATAAAAATCAATGTACATTTATATTATAAAGTACAAATCCCCACCACCACAGTCATACGTTTATGTGCAAA